TATCAGTTTTTCATATGTGCTATTATTCTAGTTGATATATTTGAGATGATATTGGCTTTGCTCAATAGAGCAGCTCAGTTAGTATACCCTGCACGTATTTAAAGCGGGTATACGGATAAGGAGTGCAACTACAGTCAGGCCAAAGGCAAGACTGACCTGAGTCTTTATAAAGCTTTGATCTTCTGACTGCAATAAGTCGCAAATAAATACTAAAACTTTCTGGACATTTTATTTGTCTGCCGATAAATAACTTTCACTATATCGATATATATCGGTGGGCTAAAGGGACATCACATATGATTGTAGATTTTTTAAGGAATTTTGCTTTTAATGCTGGCTTTGGCGGCATTGCGATGTGGATAGAAGCTTGCTTGAGATTGTGTGTGAGATTGTGTTTAAGGCAATTCGAAGCTAATTACAGGGTATCTGTTGCGTCTGGTCAGGCATTCCAGAGCCATGCACAATTGTGCCTCGGCCCCTCTGCATTTGCCTTGCTCTCACAGTTATTATGGCATAGTCTTCATATATTTGGCTCACATGGAATATTATCCAACAATTCTGTAAACTTCATAAGCTTTGAGTAGCTCAGCAGCATCTTTTCATAAATTAAAAGAAGGAAAAGATAATATATATATATAAGCATACAATATTATTGGCTGATTTGTGCAGGCGATAGGATAACTGCATTCCCTGTAGAGTTGGCTTTAAACTTTGACCTATTCCCAACTGGTTATTATGTCATGCAACGCTGAGCTCAACGATTTTGCAGCGTGGTCAAATGGCATTTGACTGAGAAATGCATTTGCCTGGCCAAGCCTCAAAAACAACAGCTGTGATAACTGGCACGTTTTGGCCATAATCAAACATAGCTTGAGGTGGGCAAAAAATATGTGTATAAAAAGATACTCGTGCGAGTGCTCAAATTACAGATGAGCCGCTATGTTGCGGTCTTTACGGGTGTGCGTGTGCGTGTGTGTGTGTGTGTGTGTGCCTGCCGTTTGACTTGATTAAGACGCTGCAAATTGACTGACTATCTGTCTGGCAATTATTAACTGCAACAGCGGCCAAAAAGGAAGTGGGCTGGCAAGGCAAGCAGAACGCATCTATAATATCACAGCAGCAGCAACTGCAACATTTGAGCAGTGGCAGTGCCTGTGGCAGAATTGCAATTTCTTCTTATTTGCTGAGCTGTGGCAAAACTATGAGCACGTCGTTGCCTTATTTATTTAACCGCAACAACAACCGCAATAAGAACAACGGCAACGCCAGCAACAACTGGCAACAACTGGCAACAACTGGCAACTGGCAACTGCAACTGGCAACTGCACTAATCTCGGTGGCAGGCAAAACGTAAAATGCTATTTAGAAAGTAACTCAAAGTCTGTAGATACATTTGCCAGCAGGCGCTGTCAGCTTAAGTTTGTTACCCGAGCTAAGCATAATACCCCAGCAGACAGACAGACAAACAGACAGAGGGACAATTGGACAGACGGACGGACGGAGTAGAGGATTTGCCTGTTAATGCTTGCATAAATATTGCGCATTGTTTTCTGCTTTTATAATAACGTCTATTTTTTGGCCAAAAAGAACAGCAACAGCAACAACAACATTATGGAATATTATGGCCAAAGCGAAGCTAGTTTATGTTTGAGTGGCTGCCTGGGATTTGGGCTTTGGCTAGTTAGTTGGCCAAGTTCTTAGTGGGTTCATTAAAAATCATACAAAAGCCGTTTTAGGAACCTGCAACAGCTCTCAGCCCAAGCACATCACCTCGCTCTACCTGTGCTTTAGCCCTTCCTCTCTCCTCTCTCTATCTACTCTACGGTTCTTGGCTCAGCTTGACTGTTTGCTTATGTTTGGCTCTGTAAACTTGACCAAATGTAGCTGAGGCATTTTAACTTGTTTTCATGTTACATGTCTGCCGCTCTATGTGTGTGCGTGTGCGTGTGTGTGTTACTTGTTTCTGCTGCTGCTGCACTTGTTTTTTTATGCTCGGCTGCTTGTTCTTTGTTTTGCTCCTTTACTTTAATTAAAGACAAGTTTTCATTTCATTCTTTTCACCTATGCGCCGCGCTCTGTTTTTGGGCCTTTAACTATTTCAGCATGAGGCCCAGAAAGCCCCCCCAAAACAAAATTGCTGCGGCAACTGTTGCTGCTGCAGTTTGTTTGAAAATAAATATGCCATCAGCAACAGATGCAGCAGCAGCATACATTTATGAAATATGCGCATTTAAAAAAGGATATCACGGACACACACACACACACAAACACACCCATCAATTGAAGGCTTGTAAATATTTGTTTAGTAATCCGCTTTGTTGACACTCGGACTCGGGACTCGAACTCGGAGTCGGACTCGGGACCTGGGGCCAAGGCTTGACTTGCATTTATGTAGCCCGGACTCTAGCCCGGGACTTGTGGTCTAGATTAGGCCGCTCAGCTGACTTGTTGCCACAGTTTAAGCAAAGTTAATCCTGGCTAAATGCGAAGCTTACCTGTTGACGCGGCGCGCTTCGTGGCCAGCAGCAGTAGCTGCGGCAGTGGCAGTAGCAATGCCAGTGGGCAGTTACAGCAATGTGTTAGAGCGGAAATGCATAAAATAAAAAAGCGGGCAAATCCATAAACAACAATCAAATTGAGCGACAACAACAACAACAAGTTGTTAAAGTAACTCGCGCGAGCTGCAATCAGCAACTTCTGTTTTTATTTATTTATATTTTTTTAAATATATTTTTCTTTTTTAGATGCGTTTAAACAACTTGTTTTCCTTTTTGATTTATTATTATTATTTATTTATTCAATTTGCCGTTTTGTGTTTTTTTCTTAATTAAGAAAATCGTTTTATATTCACGCACATTTTGCTTGTTGGGCAACAGTTGCATCCTTTTTTTTTTTGCTTTTTTCGTCCAAATATTGTTTACGTCTTGTTTTCGATTTGTTTATTTTTTTGATAGTTTCTTGGTTTTTGGCTGCTTTAAAAAACAAAGTTCCGTTACAACGTACCAAACGCTTGCAGCGCACAAAGCGTACTGAATGCGGTCTTGGCGCTTCCAAAAGACTTTTAAGCATGCTGGCAAGAAAGTCCAAGAAGTTCAGGCCAAGAAAGAAAAGTTGGAAGCTCCACGAGTCAAAAGAGACGCAATACAGATACACACACACACATACAAACATGCGCGCGCGAGCACACACAAATGGTCAAGATGATCATCATGATGATGATCATGTCGATGACGATCATGACGACGCCGTGTAACCGGCAGACCTCGAAGAGTTTGAGACACAGAGAGAGAGAGCGTGAGACTGTTAAGAGCTTGTTAGCCGGCTGCGCATGCGCAACAAGCTGCTCGACGCGCTCTCTTAGCTAAGAGCTCAGGTGTTGAAAGCCGCAGCTTTGGCCAATTCTTTTGGGCCAAGCAGATGCGCTGCAGTGCTGCAAAGAACCAAACGAACGAAGAGTTGGCAGCCGCAGCTTGAATACCCTAACAAACATTCAGTGAGCGTTCTAAATAACATTCTGATCTCAGTCAAAGACTGCTCGTTGACCTTATTTTGGCTTAGACATAAGGCTCATAGAACAATTTGTACTTGCTGCAGATATCTCAGGAACCACACGAGTCTCCTAGACAAGAACTTGCTAACTTGACAGCTAAATGTTATAGTGCTCCGATCGAATACAGTCCGCAGGAAAAGTAAACAGTAAGGCCCAAGTTTAAGAGAGTTAGTTCTTATTTAATCTATAAGCCCAAAGCAATTGTTACACGTTTCGCGACAATATCACAATACCCTGTATAAAAAGCGTGCTGTGGTGAGTTGCTCAATTGCATTGTCAATGTTAACTAATGATGCTGATGCCACAGAATAAACAGCAACTAATGAACTAAACGCGAGTCGCAGTCTGAAAACAAATTAATTAGCAGCGGGCTATGTGGCATGTTGCAACTTGCAACGCGACGAACTTTGACATACAACAAAAAAAGAAGAAAGGCAAGAAAAAAAAATAAAATAAAAATAAAAACTGTAGCTTAAATATCAACAGCATTAAGCACACATTGAGCAATTGGCAACTGGCGAGTCTGGCCAATTGAGAAATGAAAGCACACGCTGGTTACACTCACATAATTGGGCCCGGGAGAAATCTAGAACCCGGCGGCAGCAATCGGTAAAGCAATTCAAACAGCGCTCTGTAGCACTTTCTTTGCCATTTTCAATTTAATGCATAGTTACAGGAAGAAAACACTTGCCAATGCATAGCCACACACACACACACACACACACACACACACTCCACACACTCCACACAGACGGACATTGTCGTGTAGCTTATAGATACATTTCATTTCATTGCATTGCAAATGCTGCTTGTTCTTTGCGGCTTGTGTGTGTGTGCGTTCGTGTGTGTGTGTGTGTGTGTGTGCTTTCAGTATTTGTTGTATTTGTATTTGCGTCGACAATCGAGCCCATGTGCTTGAGCTGCTGGCACGTTCCTGTCTCTGGCAATGGCAACAAGGATGTGCAGATACAGATACAAATATCTGTGAGATACATTTAGAAAATACAACATGGCTTTGGCTTAAATTACTGCCAACTTAAGCGCATCTGCGGTAAATTCAATTAAACAATTTAGCATTGCTGTTGATTTTGTTACCCAGCTTCAGACAGCAGACATCTCCGCCTTCCCCACTCCACCCTCTCCCTCTCCATCCAACGTTTGCAGCTGATGAAAATAAGCAACATTTAGCAGATTGCTGCAACTTTTGCTGTGCTGTGTGTGTCCGGTGTGTGTGTGTGTGTGTGTGTGTTTTGTTTTAGCATTTGCTAAACATGAAGTGTTATGCAAATATTTGTGTATCACATTTATTTTTTATATCCTTGCTTTTATTTGACTTTGTTTTAAATGGGGATTTCCTGGGCTCGGATATAATATACATAATTTTCACATGAATATATTAATATTTATCGTTTAGCTAATGCCAAATCTTTTTATGCTTTTTATGCAACAGCTGCCCGCTATTTCCTTGCCAACATACATTTTGCACAGCTGCTCTTAATTAAATGGATAAACCTTAAAGGATAAAACGGCTCAGGTAAATAGCTAAACTATATATATCTTTTTGTATAAGTAAATAAATATATAGATAGATATTCACATTGAATAAAAGACTCTGTTCGCTCTCGTCTTCTGCTCTTAAAGTGCACACATGACTGCAAAATGCATGCTCACTAATTACAGTTGACAAACGTGTTGCCACAAAGTGTGGCAGCAACAACAGCAACAGATTTAGATTGTATTTACATGCAACGTCCTTGTGACCCACTGTCAAAATAAGTTGCAAACAGATACAACTTGCGAAAGCAAATTTAAAGCAAATTTCTGTTGCCACCCAAACACCAAAATTAAATGAATTGCCAAAAAAAAAAAATGGAACTGTGCACACGACAAATGAATACTCTATAAAAAAACACACTCAAGATAGAGCTACGAATACCCTAATGAAAATAAATAAATAAAATATAACTTATGAAGTGCCGAAAAAAATGTCTGTTCATCCCAACTAGGAATACTCTATAGAATATGACAAAGAAGCCTGTGTCTGCGCACTACGAATACCATAAAGAATATAAGTAAATTAATAGAATAAAACTTACGAAAAGTGCATGCGAACTGTGAATACTCTATACTCTATACATAAAATGAAACTAAAGAAATGAAGAAAAAATGTTAGTTCATATGAACTACGATTAATCTAATCTTATATATATAAACAAAAATTGACCCATCAACTTGGCTTTAGGCTCAATAAAAGTGACATATGAACTGCGAGTACTCTGTAGAAAAAAAGATACATATCGCTGCGAATCCTATACAAGTAAAACATAAATCTAAATCGAAGTAGGATCTAAGCATTACTCTATGGGAGATTTGAATTAAGATCGTGACTGCAAATCCCAACAAAGTACTCGCTGCTCGAGTTCAAATCAAGACCTTGCCTTTGAATTCAGTTAAAGTGGACTGGCTGGATAGGTTGGGTTGTCATTTAGGCCAAATATGTGCTGCATTTTTGGGCAGCAATAATCTACCTGTTTTAGGGACAAATATTGCCTATAATATTTGGTGAGTGAAGATTCCAAAATCTATTTAAATTATCTCTTATATGACAACCTTGGCAAAGTCTTGCAGATATTGGAATATTTCTTAAAATATTATTAACACCAAAATTTGCCTAAAAGTTTGAAAAAGTTGTGCCAGGCTTAACACATGAAGTTGATGTTCCTTAAAATCAGAAAGTGTTTAATTATTTAATAAATAATAAATGTAGATTTTCGGTAGAGTATTAAAACAAAAATGTTTCTCATTTTTGATTTGGACCTGAAGTCAGCCAAATAAATATTTCAATGTAATAAGTTCGTCAAAAACAGCATTCAAATTATGACAAATAATTAATTTAGTCTCTTTATTTTTTTGTTTAAAAATTTAATAAACAATTTAGTTAGCTATTTTTTTCTGCTTAAAACGATAGACCTGTCAATTTTCTAGCTTCATTTAATTAACAAACGTGCAATTTTTCAGTCCAAAATATATCCATAAATCATATTAATGCAGTTAACAGAACTAACTGATTTGCATAGGGCATAAAAAAACAAACTGTGCCATTTGGCAATATTACTCAATTTATTTATCATTTATCAAGTGGTTATTGCCAAAACGACAACAACAGCAACTCGAATGCAGCAGCAGCCGCAACAACAACAACAACAACAACCACACACAGTGCTGATAGTGGCAGGCGGCACAGTTGCCATTCAAATGCCGCGTCGAGTGTCCACAACGGTCAGCGACGACAGCCAATGCCAGCAACTGTTGCTGTTGTTGTTGTTGCAACTGTTGCTGCAGTTACTGCTGCTGCTGCTGCGGCGCCTTTGCTGCTGGTTCGGTGTCAATTTGGTTGCCTGTTATTCTCGCGCAACTTTTGTAACATGCATTTTTAAGGCGAGCTACTGGCTAGCGGGGGTGTTGGGGTTGAGATGGGGTGTCTGGCATGTGGTAGGTGGGACAGACAGATGAACAGACCCATTACGCCCATATTGCTGGCCATTTGGGCAGCATTGTGCTGCTCGTTGTTGCCCATTACTTCGAGCAATTGTTGTTGCTGCTGTTTGGCGCGCGAATTTTGACATTTTCAATTGTCATTTGGCTGTTTGTTGCTTTTTGACTGTTGATTTTGCAGTTAATTTTTCATTTTGACATTTCCATTTGTCAATAATAACATGCTGACCCGCCGCTTGCTCAATATCTGCTGTTCATTCGTGTTGCACCACAATGCGTTGCTGCCAATGTTGTCAATGTGGGCCGATAATTGGATTTTTTGCCAAAAGTGCTGTGGCACGTAATGGGATGTGCGTTTAATATGTGAGCTGTTCACGTGTTGTTTGTTCTTGTTCTTGTTGTTGCAACAACTGAGTTGGGCTTTAGATAATGTGTGGCATGCCCTCGCCCACGCCCACGCCGAAGCCGAACGCCTGGCCAGGCAGTGACATTTCAATTACGCACCGTTGCAGTCACCGTTATAGATAGACAATGCAACTGCTGACTGCAAACAGTTGGCTGTTCACTGTTGACTGCTGACTGCTCACTGTTGACTGCTGACGGTGCAGCTTTAGTTTATTATACAACGGCAACTTCTAAGGAAACGCAAAACAGCCTGGTCAGCATGTTCATCAAAGGCTGTGGCAGATACAGCAGTAGCAGGTCACATCTGCCGGCCAGCATTATCGTGACACACAGCACCCACATGCTAATGAGACGCACACGCAAAGAGAGTGAGAGAGGGAGAGTGGAAGAGAAGGGGAGAGCGTAGTGCGGGGCACAAAAGGTTTAGGCCTGGTCAGTCAGTTATGCCTCATGCGTAGATCGGCTCAAGTTAAATGCTGGTTAAACAGACAACAGCAGCAACATGATCGATGCCCGTTGAATGGATTTAATTTGCTGCAAGAATACGCGTTGAAGTAGAAGGTGAAATGCACTTGTATCAATCATCATAAAAGACGAGTGTGAGGGAGAGCAAGAGTGGGTAGAGGGGGGTTGCAAGTTGAAGTCTGGCAATCTGGTTAACAATCTCCGCCTGAGGCAGCTGCTCAAGCGGGCAACAGTTGCTGCTGTTGTTGCACTTGCGCCGCTGCTGTTACAGTAAACTACTGAGACAACGACCGCCACTTGCTCATTGACAGTTGAAAAATGAAATGATGCTGCGCCTGCGCAGCGGCAGACCGTTCTAAGTGGCTGCAGTTGCTGCTGCTGTTGCTGTTGTTGCTGCTGCTGTTGTTGCTGTTGTTGTTGTCTGCACAAAGAAAGACAGTTACAGTTAAATAAGCAAAAGTTTCCAACTGTCCCGCTTTGTGTGCATGTGACTCGATTTCTTCGGGATGCCAGCAGACAACAGCAGCAGCAGCAACAACAGCAACAACAGCAATGCGAACAGAAAACAGCAGCAGCAGCAACAACAACAACAACAACAACAACAGCATTTGCAGCAACCAATTCCCAAAGACCCAAAGACTCCCAACACCCGACTTGGCCACATGCGAGCACGCATTTTACCGTTTGAGCAGCGCTCATGCAACTGTGCGTGTTTGGGCCGGGCCTTAAACATTCTCACATGGGCCTGTCTGCAGCCTGTTGTTCTTGCAACTGGCTCTTGTTGCTGTTGTTGTTGTTGTTGTTGCTGTTGTTGCCGCATGCTTAACCGCAATCTGTAAGTGCAGCAGAACAGAAAGAAATATGCTAACGTATCATAAGCACAAATGCGCAACAATTGTCGGCTGCGTTCTTGTTGTTGTTGTTGTTGATGTTGTTGATGTTGATGTTGCTGTTGTTGTTGTACAACACTCTCAGTGAGATGGCACGCAAAAGTGTGTCATGAGAAGGCAACATTTGCCAGCTCATGAGGCATTTAACACTTCTGATTAAGCTGATGCTCTCAGGCGCAATAACTAATATTCTCTTGTTCAACTGTTGGGAATATAGCACATGTCAAAGAACTTGAGTGTCAAGTAATTGAAGAAGAATATTATTTAATATTACTTATCAACAATTATTGTGTAATAATTTGTCTATAGAATAATTTTGTCTAAGTAATTGTTCTTGGCAGCTGTTCTTTTCTATATTTGAATTTCTATATAGTTATTTATATGTTAAAATATATTTTGAAATATTTCCAGCTTCATCCACATAATTCTTCAAAGATTTTACATGCTTTCGTTTTGTTTAATGGTACGGATCAGCCTTTTTTGCAGTTCTTAAAATAGTTTTATCATCTTTGATTAAATGCAATTCCTATTCTATGTTTCATTTTCTATATAGCTTTTAATTTAAATGCAGTTCTTCTCTATATTTCATTTCCTATATAAGGATTTATGTGTTCAAATAGATTTTTTAACATTTCGAACTCCATTCAAAAGCTTCTTTCCAGATTTCATCTGCATTCGCGCAGTTATATGTCTACAAATCTATTTAATATTTTCACTAATCGCCTTTAAATCCGTGCAAAGCTTAGCCTTTACTTAATCATGTCCAATACAAACCATTTAAAATATATATTCATGTATTTGGAGTATTTGCATAGCAGTCGGTTCAACCCATCTCGACTATTGACTGGCACATATTTCTACATGCCATTGTGAGTGCAATAATTTGATTTATCACCCGGCATTGGCTTTGTAAACATTTTATGCATTTAGCGCTGAAAATTTATTGGCAGCAGCAGCGACAACAACAACAACGAGAACAACATCAATGACAGGCTGCAACCATGCAATTGTCAACGTTTTGCCAATAATTGTATTGATCAACAACTGAAATAACAAGAACAACAGCAGCAACAACTATAACAGCGAAATCTAAACAAATAATAGGGCTGAGTTATATGCGAAACATAATGGTCAATAACCTTTTGACCAATAAATCAAATGTTGGCGTTCCGTTTAACTATAAATTAAATACCAGAGAGTCAACGAGTGCTGCTTTAGGCCCTGTTTCTGTAGCCAGCTTTTCGAGATAATCATAGGCAATAACAACAACAACAACAATGACGACGACAACGACAGCGACCATAAAAACCAACAACTAAAATAATCGCTCGTAAATGCCTAGTGACAATAAAATTGATGATAAACCAAATCAACAGAAAGAGCAAATGGAACCCAATCGAAAAGCACAGCGCGCCGAAAAGAATCGAATCTCAGCCAAACCAAAACCAAAACCAAAACGAATCGAAATAATGCAAAACGAATTTGCGTTTTGCCTCGTCTTTTTTTTTTTATATTTTTAATGCCTGCTGTCGTCTCTTAGGCTGTAATTCTGGCTAATACCCTGTAATGAGGGCTTAAGCTTGGCATATTTAATATTTTTTAACAAACGCATACTTGAGTAAATTAAGAATAACTAAAATGTGAAAGAAGTTGCAAATTTTTAGCTCTTTTTTGTGTCTTTTTCTTTTCTTCTGTCTTTTTACTGTTTCAATAGGTTAAGGGTAGTCTGGTTTCTTG